GACGAGGCCCCGCTCTGTTGTTCAAACGGTGCAAGAAAAGTGGTTTTTGACCACTGATTAATATAGACTGTCCCTAGTTGTCGCGGTAATCAACCAAACTAAACCTCTCGCCGGAGGAAATTGTCACAAGAAGGAGACGTAACGCTCAGAACCTTTTGCACCCCTAAGGAACGCCCTCCCCGTCCTAAATAATTTAAATAATTAAAAAAAACCATCACTGTGGACTCTAACTGCCAGTTTATTTATCTGATGCTATCTCTAATCAATTATCCAAATGTCTTAATCTAATCTCTTCTCTTGGCTGACGTCACACTCGAAAGACATAACACATCAACTTAAACACGCATCACATCAACTTAAAGTTCACCCCAGCATTAACAACAATAAGCTTTCATCTAATATTCCCAGACTTTACTTTTATTTATTACAAATTACCCAAAATTACCATGGACATATCACCCGAAATATAATTAACAGATATTATAATTTACTTTAATTTCACCACTTCTGAGCCAATTTAACAGTTCAGATCATCTACTCGGCGAACAGATAATTTAGAATTCATCCAGTGTGCACAAATTTGCTTTTTCTTTGAACAGGCTTGTGCTTACCTTTAAATCTTTTAGACTGGTCTCCTATTTACCTCATTTCAGATCCCACCTTAAGCCAAATTTGTCCTCTCAGCCGCAAAAGAATCCGGGTCACGGCACCAATTATTAAATTTAGTTCTTTGAATTCTTTTGGCGGCAAAGAAAGACTGGACCCAGAGTGGTCAAAGCTCAAAAAATGATCTTTATTTTACATTTCCGGAAATGGAGAACTGCAGACACGAGCATTCCCAGTTCTGAAAAAATCACAAGGTGAATGTGTATATGTTAAATTCTGCTATGTCGCATCCTAAGTTTTGATCAAAACAACTCCTTATATGTTCCTAGTTCCTCTGTCTTTGTGGCATACTTCCTGTGCAGCTCTGCACTAAACTTCCCCTTTCTAAAGTCTGTTGTCAGGGCAACCTGTCACCCTCTGACCTAGGCCTCTCTTATCAAAATACATAAGATAAGATAACCTTTATTAGTCCCACACGTGGGAAATTTGTTTTGTCACAGCAGCATAAAACAATATAATCAGAAAATAAGCATTAAGAATATATATTTAAATCCTAACAATGTAATAAGTCTACCAATCCCCTATATAATTCTTAAATTTTCCTTTGGTTCTAACTATTTTCCTCTATAAAAATCTTCGGGTGAGCTCATTATGAAACCTGGCCCCACCCTATCATGTGATTTCCTGAGGTCAGATGGCCCAGGATGTGAGTGGGTGTTAAGGCATCTGGGAAGGGATCTCAAAACTGGATTATAGATGGCAGACAGTTTGTGTCGTAAACCACCGCCTCTGTTCAAAGATGGTCGCTCACAGTGGATGTAAATGACTTCTTTCACTCCTCTTTCAAACAATCTGTCCTGTCTGTCCAAAATGTGAACATTGACATCCTCGAAAGAGTGACCTTTGTCCTTTAGATGCAGATGGACAGCTGAGTCTTGTCACATGGAGGTGGCTCTTCTATGTTGTGCCATGTGCTTGTGAAGTGGCTGTTTGGTCTCTCTGATGTAGAGGTCTGAGCATTCCTCGCTGCACTGTACAGCATACAACACGTTGTTTAGTTTGTTAAAAACTCTTAAATGAGCAGATTCGGTACTATGTAAAGCTTTGAAACTAGATTGGAAAACTTCTAAAATACCTTGGTCTTCTAAAAAGGACATTAATTGCTTCTAAAATACCTTTTCAAGAATTTTTGAGATTAAAGGCAGTTTGGAAATAGGTGTGTAATTTGCAATAATATCAGGATGTCGTAAGCCACCTCCTCTGTTCAAAGATGGTCGCTCACAGTGGACATTCACATCCTGGGCCATCTGACCTCATAAAAACACATGATAGGGTGGGGCCAGGTTTCACAATGAGCTCACCAGAAACCCTGGCTGATTGTGACCCACACCCGCTTTCACACCTTGGCTCATGTGATTAGGTAGAGGATCATCAGGGGGTCCTTTGTCCCTCTTTGGGGGGAAATTCCCACTGGGTTTAAATCTGGGACTCTTCACGATTTGACCCTTAGAACTGAAGAAGCTTCTCGGATGAGAGGTAAAATGTCTTCAAGCAACTCAAAGAAGTCCAGACGCTTTCCTTTCCAAGCTCCTTAGACTACGATGACCTGGATAACTGAAAACCTTAACAGATATACTATGGTTGTATAAACTTCTGTTTTTTTTTATTCTTTCCATAGATTGATGAACTGCTGTTTATCAAATGTCGGTTGTGATTATCTGGTCTCAGCTCTGAAACTAAACCCTTCCCATGTGAGACATCTGAACATGAATTTCAATGACTTGTACAATTCAGGAATGAACCAGTTGTGTGGCTTACTGGCAAATACAGACTGCAAACTGAAAATTTTGGGGTGAGACACCATGTTTTATATATTTATTTTCCGAGTTAAACGTGAATGTCCACTTTTTCTAATTCACTGTCAATTTTAAAGAGTTCATTTTCAGTGTTGATGCAAATTTCCTGCCTTAATAAATCATCTTTCTTTGATTTATGTCAATACTCTTCCTAAAAAATATTGCACTCTGAAAGGAAAAAAAAAACAATCCAATGAATGTAACAAGTAGTAAACCCTTAAATTTACAAATTTCAGAAAATGTTATAAATAAAGACAATGAAAGTAAACGTGATCACTGGAGGACTTGGGAGAACCAAAACCTTTCCCAATGATCTTTGATTGTGGTGTTGGCCTGCTGTGAATTTGAGCTGTCATGTTATAAAAATTTCAGAATAAACTTATTGGGTACAATTTGGTCATGCCCAAAGTAATCATTGCTAAGGAGAAAGGTTGAGGAGAAGTGAAAGAACAAAAAAAAGTAGAATGAAACTAAATGCTAAAAAAATAAAAGCCAGTTAGTGACCAAGTGACTAAAAAACACGTAAAAACAGATGTACCGACTCTGTGTTGTTATAGTTTCAGTGGGTGTTTGTGTGATAGAACGTTGAAGCATACTCTGTATTTAACTCTCTCTTTAAGATGCAGACTCCTTGATTTTTTTTTAAAATCAAAGTATTGCAAAAAAACCCAAAAAAAATCCCACAACATTTTGAAAATCTCTGCTTCAGTGTACATTTGTGGCTTATGTCTAAAAACAATCATAGAAATTCACAATTCTACAATACAGAGGGCTATTTTAGGTACAGCCATGTACAAGACTCAGCACACAAGCAGAAACCTCATAACAGGGACTTCAACCTAATGGGAAAATGGCATTAACTTTACACAGAGATGAAAACACTGAATGACAACACAAGGACCAGACTGAAGGAACAGAATAACAATACATTCTTACAAATAGCAAACTAAATAATGACATTATAATAAAACACACACACACACAAGAAAAATATAACCTAAAATTGGAAGGCACACTGAACCAGCATGGCTAACACAGCATCCTGCAGCAGCATGCATCCAGTTTGTGTTTAGTTTGACCATCACTTATTTTTCAACAGCACAGTGACCCCAAACACAACTTCAAGTTGTATAAGGGCTACACAAGGAGAGTGACAGAGTGCTGCTTCAGATGGCCTGAAAAATCTAAAATCTATAATTTAAACAGTCATGAAAATAAAGAAAGGGGTATGTCCAAACGTTTGGTAGGGTATATATAAAGGTAAATTAAAAACTTTTTTAAGTCTTAAAATGATCAAAAACAGGATTTTGAGGTGAAGTTTTATCTCTGTTCTTTTCCCAGATTGCAGGACTGCAGTTTGTCAGATATTAGCTCTCTGGTCTCAGCATTGAAGGCTAACCCTCTGTATCTGGAAGTTCTGGACCTGAGTAAAAACGACCTGCATGATTCAGGAATGAAGGAGCTGTTTGACTATTTGGCAAGTCCGGACTATGGACTAGCAGAACTGAGGTAAGGGGTCCAGATGGGTTTGTGAACGGCAGATAGTGTAACTCTGGGCACTTAACTGTCAAAAGGACACTCTGCAGTAAGGACATTGAGCTGGTAGCATGAGGCTGTATTGTCTACACTGGGAGTTTAGACATATTAACATCATAATGGTATATCCCCCACTGTGTTAATGCTGCAAACGCCTGCAATGATATCCACACTATTACCAGAAGATTCCAAACACAGTATCGCTAGGGCCATTATCAGATCTCCCGGGATTTTAATCATGTCTCCCTGTCCTCCACCCTGCACACCTTCAACTAATATGTTTCCTGCCACACCAGAGACAATAAAATGCTGGATTTTTGACAACACCAAGGGGGCACACAGCTCATCACCTCTCCCCTTCCTGTGGGATCACAACCTGGTTCATCTCCCGCTTTGCATAAATCCCTTGTACACAGAGAACCAGCTGTGACACACACACTGTGAAGACACGATCAATTCAATTCAATTCAATTCAATTCAATTCAATTCAATTTTATTTATATAGCACCAAATCACAACAGCAGTCGCCTCAAGGCGCTTTATATTGTGCAGTAGATACAGAGAAATACCCAACAATCATATGACCACCTATGAGCAAGCACTTTGGTGAAAGTGAGAAGGAAAAACTCCCTTTTAACAGGAAGAAACCTCCGGCAGAACCGGGCTCAGGAAGGGGCGGGGCCATCTGCTGCGACTGTTTGGGGTGAGAGAAGGAAGACAGGATAAAGACATGCTGTGGAAGAGAGACAGAGATTAATAACAGATATGATTCAATGCAGAGAGGTCTATTAACACATAGTGAGTGAGAAAAGTGACTGGAGTGCATCATGGGAATCCCCCGGTAGCCTACGTCTATTGCAGCATAACAAAGGGAGGATTTAGGGTCACTTGGTCCAGCCCTAACTATATGCCTTAGCAAAAAGGAAAGTTTTAAGTCTAATCTTAAAAGTAGAGATAGTGTCTGTCTCCCAAATCCAAACTGGAAGCTGGTTCCACAGAAGAGGGGCATGAAAACTGAAGGCTCTTTCTTCCATTCTACTTTTAAATACTCTAGGAACAACAAGTAGGCTTGCAGTGCGAGAGCGAAGTGCCCTAATAGGGTGATATGGTACTACTAGGTCATTAAGATAAGATGTGGCCTGATTACTTAATACCTTGTATGTGAGGAGCAGGATTTGAATTCAATTCTGGATCTAACAGGAAGCCAATGAAGGGAAGCCAATACAGGCGAAATATGCTCTCTCTTTCTAGTCCCCGTCAGTACTCTTGCTGCAGCATTTTGAATTAGCTGAAGGCCTTTCAGCAAATGTTTTGGACGTTCTGATAATAATGAATTACAGCAGTCCAGCCTGGAAGTAATAAATGCGTGACCTATTTTTTCAGCATCATTCTGAGATAGGATATTTCTAATTTTAGACATGTTGTGCAAATCGAAGAAAGCAGTGTTACATTTTCGTTTGATATGTGTATTCTATTGCCCCTCTTGAAGGTATGGTGTTTCTCCTCAATGAAAAGAAGAGAACCTTTAGATCAGGAAGCAAGGAAGGGCTGAGAGAAGTGCAAAAGGACTTAGAACGAACATTGTGTTACAGAGCTCTTACAGCAAGGGAAAATAAAATATAACAGGAAGAAACAAGGTGGTCCTATAAACATAAGCAACCGAAGTTCATTTACACAGGTATATACTGGTAAAAATGTACAGAATATGTATAGAAAAATTGAAAAATTGTACGGAGCTATGTATAAAATGTACAGTAAACAAACAAACTCGTTAGTACGACCACCAAAAGAATGTGTTAAGCTGCATTATAGAGTCTGACAGCTGTTGGTAAAAATGACCTGCGGTAGCAAGCCTTCCTACACTGTGGGGGTAGAAGTCTACTGCTGAACGAACTGTTTAGTGCTCGTACTGTACTGTACTGTACTAGTGCTCGACTCTTTTCATTTCCTCTCTGTTCCCAGATTTGAAAGCCCTCCTTTTCTGTTCCAGCAGGGCCCTCAGATCTGGAGTCAGACATGGCTTGTTGTTATAGTAACACAATACTTTCCTGGTCAGTACAGTGTTATCCACGCAGAAATGGATATAGTCTGTTATGCAGGTGACCTAAAATTGTTTTCGGCTGCTTCCAATCCACACATGTTGTTAAGTTACATGTGGTCCTCCATCTTCTTCCTGTAGATGGTTTTTCCTTCCCAATGTTCTTTCTCAGTTCCTTTTGCAGTTTTCTCAGCACTTCCCATGATTGTTGGGTTTTTCTCTGTATCTACTGTACAATATAAAGTGCCTTGAGGCAACTTTTGTTGTGATTTGGCGTAATATAAATACAGGGAGTGCAGAATTATTAGGCAAATGAGTATTTTGTCCACATCATCCTCTTCATGCAAAAAGTCAAGCGTGCAGCTGCCAAGATGCCACTTGCCACCAGTTTGGCCATATTTCAGAGCTGCAACATCACTGTAGTGCCCAAAAGCACAAGGTGTGCAATACTCAGAGACATGGTCAGGGTAAGAAAGGCTGAAAGACGACCACCACTGAACAAGACACACAAGCTGAAACGTCAAGACTGGGCCAAGAAATATTTCAAGACTGGTTTTTCTAAGGTTTTATGGACTGATGAAATGAGAGTGAGTCTTGATGGGCCAGATGGATGGGCCCGTGGCTGG